GGGTAGAAACATTGGGCATGTTTCTTTATACCGGTTGTCTATGTTCACCCATCAGTAAAATGGGTACCTGGGTGTTAGTTGACTGGTGTGGGTCACAGCCTGGGACAAAACTGACCTAATTTGCCCGAAATGCTCTGCATAACAAGGGGCTTTCTATATAGCAGTATGTCATTGATGTCAGCTAGGCCTGTATACCATGTACATGTACTTGTAGTAAATAAAAGATATTATTATTATTAATACATCTTTCCAATTAATTTAATAACACTTCCAGATGTGTAGCACATTTTCATTACTGAAATATTAATTTCCTCTAAATTTCAACATTTTCACTTTACTTATTCAACTCCTTACAGAATATAAGGAAATAATAGAGAATATTAGTTTTCGTGTCAAAGAATAATCTTTTAAAAGTCACTGAAGATACACACCTACACAGTTTCAGATAAACATTATTATCCCCATCAATTCTTTACACACAAATCCCAGGAAAATTATCAACATTTTCAACAGATTCTTTGATGGATAGACCTTCCAATGCCATGCCAGTCCACATTTATATAAACAAATCAATCTTAGAAACTGGGCAAAAGTTTTTTATTATTATTATCACACTGGCCAATTCCCACCAAGGCAGGGTGGCCCGAAAAAGAAAAACTTTCACCATCATTCACTCCATCACTGTCTTGCCAGAAGGGTGCTTTACACTACAGTTTTTAAACTGCAACATGTTATTTATTACCTAGGTGTTAAAGGGTAAACGAGTGTTTGTAAATGCAAGGCTGGGAGCTGTGATCCGTGCAGCAGTACGAGGTAGTCACAAGTACCACCTGGCTCGTCAAGCTATGTACCCTCAGAACTATGGTATCGCCTGCTCTTCTGGCGCACCCTACAACAACCTCTTCACCGATCTGTAAGAATTTTTAAGTTTCATCTTCAATAAAGACACAGACCAGTACCATTGCATCATATAAGAAACTTTCCTTAATTTTAAAAAACAAAAAGGCACAATACCATGACTGGAACAAAAAAAAAAAAATGATTCTTGGAAGCATATTTTGCTTGTCTATTTACTATGCTCAATAATCTTATTACTGAGCTTGGAAGTTAGCTTAATATCATTATCTTGTGGGTGGTAGTCAAGAAATTACAGAGGCACAATGGGTCCTGAGACTGAGCAGTGAAGTTTTGATAGGAACTGCAATTGATAGCTGTGTGATTACTAAGAGTTATTTACAAGAAGTACATTCATAAGCTATTAATATCAAACCATGTTATACTTACATAAAGCAAAACCTCTAGAGGTGTCATTAATTATAATGAATATAATATTCAAGGGAAAGCATTAAACCTGTAGAGATCATACAGACTGCCTGATTATTATTATTATTATTATTATATTCAAAACTAAATGCTTAATACAGTGTTTGAGTGTGGGTCATTCAGTGCTATCAAACCAAATTACAGTACGTATTTCAATAATAATGTAATCAAGGCAAGCGCTACACCTGAAAGGATAATACAGTGCTGCATTACAGTGCATTCATGGGTAAGCTCTAAACCCATAAGGGGGCCAGAAAGCATCTGCAAAATGGAAGGTAATCATGTTTAATTCAAGGAATGGGAGGGTAGCATTAATTCCTGGGACCAAAAGTCCTTCAGCATTAATATACAGTGGACCCTCGACTAACGCTATTAATCCGTTCCTGAGAGCTCATCGTTAGTGAAAATAATCGTTAGTCAAGTTAATTTTTCCCATAAGAAATAATGGAAATCAAATTAATCCGTGCAAGACACCCAAAAGTATTGAAAAAAAAAAATTAACACATGAAATATTAATTTTAATACACACAAACTGAAGAAGACATGCACAGTTACATGACACTTACCTTTATTGAAGATCTGGTGATGATTGATGGGATGGGAAGAGGGGAGTGTGTTGATGGTCTTAGTGTTTAGAAGGGGAATCCCTTTCCATTAGGACTTGAGGTGGCAAGTCCTTTTTCGGGGTTACTTCCCTTCTTCTTTTAATGCCACTAGGACCAGCTTGAGAGTCACTGGACCTCTGTCGCACAACATATCTGCCCATAGAGGCCTGAACCTCCCGTTCCTTTATGACATTCCTAAAGTGTTTCACAACATTGTCAGTGTCACCATTAAACACTTGTTCAGGTTTCAGTCCTTCACTGTCTATGTACTCCTTGAATTCCTGCACATATTTTTCAGCTGTTTTTTGGTCCAAACTGGCAGCCTCACCATGCCTTATCACACTATGTATGCCACTACGATTCTTAAATCTCTCAAACCAACCTTTTCTGGCCTTAAATTCACTCACATCACCACTAGTTGCTGGCATTTTTCTAATTAAATCGTCATGCAACTTCCTAGCCTTTTCACATATGATCGCTTGAGAGATGCTATCTCCTGCTATCTGTTTTTCGTTTATCCATACCAATAACAGTCTCTCAACATCTTCTATCACTTACGATCTCAGTTTCGAAAACATAGTTGCACCTTTGGCAAGAACAGCTTCCTTGATTGCCATTTTCTTGGCCACAATAGTAGCGATGGTTGATTGGGGTTTTGTGTACAGCCTGGCCAGCTCGGAGACATGCACTCCACTTTCATACTTAGCAATCATCTCTTTCTTCATATCCATAGTAATTCTCACCCTTTTTGCTGTAGGGTTGGACCTAGAAGCTTTCTTGGGGCCCATGGTGACTTATTTTGCAGGTGCAATCACTAAAAAGGCTGTGATAATATGAAATGTTCCGATTGTATGCTTGGAAGCAACCACGGTGGCTGGCTGGCTTGTAAACACTGGCCAGAAGTGGACGCATCTCAGATGGAATGAATAGTGTTGGTCGAGTTTTTTAGCGCTAATCGAGGCAAAATTTTTGCGATAAAATGTATCGCTAGTCAGATTTATCATTAATCAATGCTATCGCTGGTCGAGGGTCCACTGTACTCTTGTCTTTGAAAAGTATCAAATCTTAATTTTTTTCTTGTTGCAGAATACAGATACTTTGATCTAATGTCCTTTCAGGAAGGGTTCTTAATTACACATCTTGATACCATCTCTTGCCAACACCAGGCTGCTTAGGATGGTGGAGACTGGCTTGGTAGACAAATGGACTCAGGACCAGGTCAACAAGGTAACCAAGACTCATGGTAATGGTGGGGATGATGGTGACAGTGGCAGAGGTGGTGACAAAACAACTTTGATGGGGCCAGATGCCATCTCTCTTACCCATCTTCAGGTATATTATTATTATTCTTATTATTATTATTATAATCAAAACTAAGTGCTAAACCCACCAGGGTCATACAGTGTTGCATGGTAGGGTGCATGAACTATGTAATATACTTGATCTGAAACTAGTAAGGGTGGAGAGTTCCAGGTATATTATTATTGTTATTAAGAAAGGCTGTCTCCAGCCAAGGGAAAGTGATCCAAAGAAAACACATTCAGCATCATTCATTCAACAATTTTAAATGTTTTAACACTTCTAGATAATTCTTTTTTTTTTCCACAACTGATCATTTAATGATACCATTAGGTCTTCCTTAGCTCTGATTCTCTCAAATACACCTGAATTAATACCATTTACCCCTCTCCATTGAAGTTCTCCCACCTTTTTTAGCATTGTTTCACCTAACTGAATACTCCATTCTACTGAATGCACAGCAACACAGTAAATGACCATATGACCTGTCTTTGTAATACTCATTTGTGCTTAATTGTAATCTGTTTACAATAATGTTTTACCACTGAATATATCATTGCTTAGTTGATCTTAAGTTAACTTTAAGCCTGCCCATAATGTTCTGCATACAAGGGGCTTTGGCATGTTACACTTAATTACTGTATTCCTTTGTACTTCTCTGTATCATGTTCAAATTAATAAATAAATAAATAAATAAGTGCTAAAATACTGTTTCTTCTTAGCTGTACTACACCTGAACATATTCAAACACTCACAAGGGTCATACAGTACATTAGGGTTGGATGTGCTAAAGTTGTAATATGCTTGATCAGAGACCAGCGAGGTTGATGATTATAACAGAGGTAGAGTTAGTAATGGTGGTGAGGAAGTACAGTCATGGTGAGGAAGAACAATGGTACCTCAGTATACGTCCTTAATCTGTTCCAGGACCTTGGACTTATACCAAATAGGACGTATACCAAACGAATTTTCTAATAAAAAATATAGGTAAAATGATTAATCCATTCCCATGAAAAAAAACCTAGTGTTATTGGCATATTATACACTGATGGGGTTGATTAAAATAATTTAAACACTGCTTAATATTAAAATATGTACATAATTTAAATACTGCTTAATACTAAAATACATACATAAATACAGAAGAATTAGATGAAATAAATGCAAATTTAACCTCACTTTACTTTGCTGAAAAGAGTCGATGGTGCTGAGAAGTGAGGAGGAGGAGGAGGAGGAGGAGGAGGAAATGTTATTGTTTGGAAGGAGAGTCCCCTTTTCTTTCTGTCTCTTTTTTTTGCCTATTTGGACCTGGTTGAAGCTCACCAGGTTTGACTTTTACTAAAAATCTGTCCAAAGAACTTTGCTTCTGCCTTCTCTTCAGGATGTTTCGGAAATGTGACATTATCTGGTCTTTCCAGACAGTGCTATTATGGCTTGTTTGGGCTTTGTTGGGGTGGTACTTCTCTGCAAAGTTTTTGACGTCCATCCATTTGGCAAAGATTTCCTTGATTAATGAAGTAGGGGCTTCCTCTCTCTCCTCTTCCGAGCCTGAAGAGAGTGCATCCATTTTAGTCTTGTGCTCCTCCTTCTCAAGTTCCTGCAGCTCCTCAGTGGTCATCTCTTCCCTGTGCCCCTCCACTAACTCCTCCATATCACTATCACTCACATCCAGACCCATGGACCTGCCCAGAGAGACAATATCCTCCACTATAGACACAGCCTCAAAGTCCCTTTCAGCTACTACTTCTGGCCACAAATTCCTCCAAGCAGGGTTCATTGTTCTGTATGAAACTTCCTGCCAGGCTTTGTCAATGGGTGATAGTAAAGTGATCTTTTCAAAACTCTCAGGGTTAACTCTGTGTCAGAGGTCACTTCAAAGCATCTTTGGAATAGTGATTTAGTGTAGAGTTTCTTGAAATTACCGATGACCTCCTGATCCATTGGCTGAATGAGAGGAGTTGTGTTAGGGGGGAGAAACTTTACAGTGGTGAAGTCAAACTCCGGCAGCACATAGTCCTGCAAACTTGGATGGCGAGCTGGAGCATTGTCCATTATGAGGAGGGCCTTCAGAGGCAGGTTTTTCTCCTCTAAATAACTTTTTACACTTGGCCCAAATACAACATTAAACCATTTGCTGAAATATTCTCTGGTTACCTAAGCCCTGCTGTTTAACCTCCACATCACAGGTAACCGAGTTTTCTAGCACGCGAGTCGTATTCCAAACAAAGGTCGTATACATGTTATTTAACCCTTTGACTGTCGAAGGGCCAAATCCTGAAGTTGCTTCTGGTGTCGCAAAATATTCGAAAAAAAAAAAATTATTTTTACTTATGAAATGATAGAGAATCTTTTCCCGATTGTAAAGACACCAAAAAAAACGAAATTTGATGGAAAACTGACGGAATTACGCTCTTGCGAAGTTAGCGACTTCGGCGATATTTAAAAATCGGCAATTTCGCCCACTTTGAGCCCTATTTTCGGCTAATTCCGTTATTCCAATCAACCAAACTCATAACTATTTCTTCAGAACTCTATTTTTTCTATCGATTGAGTACAAGAAACTGCCCATTTACCGATTTCAACTACCCAATAACATGGTCAGAAATTTGCAATTTGGCCAATTTCACGAAAATTAAAAAATACGACAATTTCAAAATAAGGTCCAGAATGAACAATGCAGACATTCCTGGCTCTAAAATAACATTTTCTTTGTTCATCAGTCATGTCTCCAGGTCCCTGTGATATTACTCTTGCTTTTTATTTGAAATTTTATTCAAACAAAAAATAGAAGATTTACTGTTATGCAGACTACTGCAATACTGTAATAATTGTAAAAATTACATCAACCCATTCATGACTGCGTATTAGAATGGCTATTTGGACATTTATTGGACAATGACATCATTTGTTCACTTTTGAACATCGGCAAAAATCAAACATTTCCTGTACTTTGTGCTCCATTTCCAGGTTCTTTTTATAGTAAAATTAATCAAAATCACCTCCATTTCTATAATATAGTTTCCATTCTATCAAATGAGACCAAGAAAACGAGAATACAACCACAAATACTATACGAAAATAGACCACAAAGTCGGCATTTTAATTAAAAAAAACGGTCGGAGTTTTTTTTTTCTCATTATGCACTGCGTGCTCCAGGATTTTTTTTATGTGGTGCACACTGACCACACAGACCCATTCTCTCACATGTGGGCCTACTAGCTTTCTCCTGCCTGATTTGAAGCCGCTAGAATTTATGAGTATATATACGTCAAACACGGTACCTCGCAAACGTATATATACGGCCGCGACAGTCAAAGGGTTAAAGGTCGTACACCAAGCAATAATTTTTGTGTTCAAACAGGGCATATATGAAGTTGGACTTATTCCAAAGTGGATGTATACCGAGGTACCAGTGTACATACAATCAAAGTCAGTATAAATCCATGAAATGGGCAAATCAGGTTAAATCCATGAAATGGGCAAATAGGTCCAATTCATTGCATTAAGAGCTCAGTACTGGTATCAAGGAACCTCCCTTGAGGGGATTCAAGCAAGGAAATATTCACAAAAAAAAAAAAAACTATGAATCGTACAGTGCTATGAGAAAGTTTAATGAGTTACATTGGTAATGCTTCTCGATACTAGTGTCATGATGCCACTAAAACACTCTCAAGTCTAAAGAATTGGTGCTATCCTTCCTTACATCAAAAAAGATTACTGTAAGATCTCAACAGTTTTAGCGCTTCCCCATGAATGTAATATAATGATTACAGTATCAGAGTTGCATACTACAGTATATGAATACATTATGAAGTTTTAAGAAGAGCCTGAAAATTACCCAAAGACAATTTTGGGGGTAACTGACCCTACAGCTCGGTTCCAGACCAAGCTTCCTGTTGCTGACCTGATTGACCACACTATTAGTGCTGTTTGCAATCCATGTAAGTTACATATGCACCCTTACATGAGGGTGCATATGTTACATGGGATGCAAACAGCATTAATAATCTGGTCAATCAGGTCAGCAACTGGAAGCCTGGTCTGGAACCGAGTTGTAGGGTCAGTGACCCCCAAAATTGTCTTCGGGTAATTTGGATGAACAATGGATTAAAACATCTCATTGGTCAAAAGATAGGCATATATAGGCATATCAAAAGAGGGGATGGGCAATTAAGAAATCAATATATTCAATTAGAGAGAAATAAAGAAAGGAATAAGAAAAGCAAAAATGGATTATGAGGCTAAGGTCACAAGGGATTCAAAGACTAACCCAAAAGGGTTCTTTCAGGTATACAGAAGTAAGATTAGGGACAAGATTGGCCCACTTAAGAGTAACTCTGGTCAGATCACTGACAGTGATAAGGATATGTGTGAAATTCTCAATGCCTACTTCCTCTCAGTTTTCACCCAGGAAAATACTAGCGATATTCCTGAAATAATAGATTATGTAGAACAGGATAATAAACTATGTACGATTGCGGTAACTAGTGACATGGTCCTCAGACAAATAGAGAAACTAAAACCTAACAAATCCCCAGGCCCTGATGAACTGTTTGCAAGGGTGTTAAAGGAATGTAAAGAGGAACTTAGCATACATTTGGCTAATCTTTTTAACATATCACTACAAACTGGCATAGTGCCTGATAAGTGGAAAATGGCAAATGTAATACCTATTTACAAGGCAGGTGACAGGTCCTTGGCTTCGAACTATGGACCAATAAGCTTACCTCCATAGTGGGAAAATTTATGGAATCAATAATTGCCGAAGCAATTCGTAGCCATCTTGACAGGCACAGACTGATTAATGATTCTCAACACGGTTTTACAAAGGGGCGTTCCTGTCTTACGAATTTACTAACTTTTTTCACTAAGGTGTTTGAGGAGGTAGATCATGGTAATGAATATGATATTGTGTATATGGACTTCAGTAAGACTTTCGATAGAGTTCCACACCAGAGGCTATTGAGGAAACTTAAGGCACACGGAATAGGAAGAGAAATTTTTTCCTGGGTAGAGGCATGGCTGACAAATAGACAGCAGAGAGTTTGCATAAATAAGTTGGGCCCGTTGTTGTTCACAATTTACATAAGCAATATAGATGAGGGAATAAATAGCGACATAAGCAAATTTGCTGATGACACCAATATAGGCTGTCCAATTCATTCTAATGAGGACACTAGAGCACTCCAGGATGATTTGAATAGACTGATGCAATGGTCGGAGAAGTGGCAGATGCAATTTAATATTGACAAATGCAAAGTTCTAAATGTTGGACAGTTAAATAACCATGCCACATATAAACTAAATAATGTAGATCTTAATACTACTGATTGCGAAAAGAATTTAGGAGTTCTGGTTAGCAGTAATCTAAAACCAAGACAAAATGCATTAGTGTTCGCAATAAAGCTAACAGAATTCTTGGCTTCATATCTACAAGTATAAATAATAGAAGTCCTCAGGTTGTTCTTCAGCTCTATATATCCTTGGTTAGGCCTCATTTAGACTATGCTGCTCAGCTCTGGTCACCGTATTACAGAATGGATATAAATGCTCTGGAAAACGTACAGAGGAGGATACCAAAGATGATCCCATGTATCAGAAATCTTCCCTATGAGGATAGATTGAGGGCCCTGAATCTGCACTCTCTCGAAAGGCATAGAATTAGGGGATGATATGATTGAGGTGTATAAATGGAAAACAGGAATAAATAAAGGGGATGTAAATAGCGTGCTGAAAATTTCCAGCCAAGACAGGACTCGCAGCAATGGTTTCAAGTTGGAAAAATTCAGATTCAAGAAGGATATAGGAAAGCACTGGTTTGGTAATAGAGCTGTTGATGAGTGGAACAAACTCCCGAGTACAGTTATTCAGGCTAAAACGTTGTGTAGTTTTAAAAATAGATTAGATAAATACATGAATGGGTGTGGGTGGGTGTAAGTTGGACCTGACTAGCTTGCGCTGCTGGGTCTGGTGCCGTGCTCCTTCCTTGAGTGGAGATGATCAGACTGGGTGGATCATTGGGCTTATTGGGGGGGGGGGGGAAGTCATTTATCTAATCAGGGGGGGAGGTCATTTGTCTAATCAGGGGGGGAGGTCATTTGTCTAATCCGGGGTGGGGGGGCATGGACCTTCTCCGCATGGGTCAGTAGGCCTGTTGCAGTGTTCCTTCTTTCTTATGTTCTTATTTTAAAGAAGTTTTTAAGTTTAGTGAATCTTGTACAGGCTATGACTGCTCATAGTTAATATTATATTCTCAAGAGCACTACACCCACATGGTTCATGGTGCTAATTATTACATTATTTTTGTGGAAAAACCTCCCATGCCTCAGCATGGGAGGTTTTGAATCAAACCCATTTACCTCCCATGCCTGAGGCATGGGAGGTAAATGGGTTTGATTCAAGGGAAAGGGGTGTGCATCAAGGCACACAACTTCCCCTTGAAAGTTGAAAGTGACTTATTTTGTTCAAGCTGTCAAAATCTTCTAGTAGTAGTTTTAAGTCAATAATAATATACTGTATTCCACTTCAGGGAGCATTTTTTATCCTGGGCTTTGGGTACCTGGTGGCAGTTTTGGCCCTTCTGGGAGAAGCTTATGTCCACTGCAGTTGTCTGCAAGCTGCTCCACAGGTCAGACTGCAACCATTTTCTAGCTTTCACTGCCTTCCTTTCACTAAGCTCACTATTATTTACTTGTAATATCAGGAATACTAACTTCCAGTATAAAATGTTATTTTATTTTATCTTTAGCTCTTTACAGAAGTATTCATCATCACTGCAAGTTGTGTATTAAAATTAACACTAGTCAATAAAATACAGTGGAACCTTGACTTACGAGTGCCCCAATGTACGAGTTTTTAGAGCTACGAGCTGTCACTTAGTCAATTTTTTGCTCTGAGTTGCGAGCCAAAATCTGAGTTACAAGGCCACTAGTTGGCGCAGCAAATGCCACAACATCCGCTCAACAGTGCACGTGCTTACCTCACCGTGGAAGCATTTCTTTTGTGTTGTGCTTGCATTTTGTGTAGTTATTTTGCAAAACTTCTTTTTTCTAACCATGGGTCCTAAGAAAGTAAGTGCAAAGGACAGTACTTGAGAAGAAAGAG